CTTATTGCTTCTTTTTAATTGGAATAATTTTCTATAGAGGTCGATGATGGCCACACCTCTGCTTCGGCTCGAACCCGAAAAACGGATATTTTCTCCGTTCATTGTTCATCATCGTCCACTGATTCAATGTTAGTTGAAGCAGTCGCGTTTCATTTCGTATGAAAACGCGGAACCGCAGTGATGTTCCCTCACGCATACTCAAATCATTAGGCCTCAATTACTGTCAGAGCCCGAAAGAGTAGTTAATTTCTTTTCTGAACCACCCGTCCTTCGAACCTTCTTCTTCTCATGTCCAAGGTTTCTATCGTCAGTCCAGATTGAGGTGGGACCGCCGTGGTCTCCGTCTTCTAGCAGTTTCAGCGGTGAAACTATTTGTTCGAAATCCAGCAAAACATCTGAACATCTCCACCAACGCTTCTCCTACTTACCTCCTTAAAGGAATCTTCCACGGACCATGGACCAGTAGGCGGGACCGGAAGTTTTTGTGACGAAATGCATGATAGGTGCGGATCCACGTGTCGAACGCACGAACGTGAACAGAATTCTCTTCAAACCTTCCGATGAACGTGGATCCGTACCTACCATGCATTTCGTCGCAAAAGCACTTCCGGTCCCGCCCACTGGTCCATGGTCCGGGGAAGATTCCTTTAACGACCATAACGTCCTGAGGATCTCATTGCAAGCTTTAGCCAACAATGAACTTCACTTCGCTGCGTCTCTGCATCTCAATTTCTTGTACAAGAGGCTCATTTTCTTGTTCTCTGCCTCTAGGACTATCTCAGGAAGTATCCTGCAGTTTTTGTGCAATGTCCTGCAGAACAGAACCTTTGTTTTCTCCTTTAATTTCGGCGAATCGCATCGGTGCAGGTGTCATCAACATGTGCTGTCTTCCGTTACTGAGAATTGCTGAGAAGGCACGAGCCTGAAGGCCAGAGATCTGCAGCTGAGGTATGAGGTCAATTAGAGAGTGGAGAGGGACGAGCCGTCTGAACAGAGTTCCAAAGAGCTAGGCCGTGGCAAGCGCGATCTTCGCTCACGAAAACGCCGCTTTTCGCGATCTCGGGAACTTATTAGCTTTTAGTAGACTCATATGCTCTTCTCCCGCATCCAAATGATCACTCTACGTGCCGCTAAACAATGCAAAGCTTGCAGCTGCGAAATCTTTTGAGAGGGCGCGATATTTGTGCCGAGTATGAACCGCTGCGCGTCGCGTTACCTCGCGTATTTGATCGCTGGCATCTTCACTCAAAGTCACGGCAGAAGGCCGATATATGGAGGACAAAGCGATTTTGACTCCTTCTGAAAATCGTGGAAGTCTAGACTAGACCCTTCTGCGCGTTGGAGGGTGTGTCTGAGAACCCCTGCTTAACGCCCCTGCATCAATGAAATTCAACCTCATCAAAATCGCAACGCGTTTCAGCCATTGTGATCACTGCCTTTAAACCAACTCATTGGATTAGGGTTCAACTTCACTTCTGAAAGTTGGTAAAAAATGTGACTTACCTCTTCCTGGCACTGAACAGAGCTCCGCTTTACGCATTGATGGCGCTTCAGATATCGTTTCAGGGAACGAAGCATTGTGGAACGATCAATCTCTGATCCTTCAATCAAGTATTTTTCAGACATCTGGGGTCGCATAAGAGATCCCTTATAACCTACGGTTTGTTTCTGGCTCCGGTTCCATGCATAAGCAAAAATTGTGCACGACGTTGTTATCTACGCACGATCTGTTGGTGGGGATTTCCCGGAAAAGGAATGCCGTAAAAAATATGCTTTAAAAGATCTGAAAGCATGGAAGAATGAGCGAAGGAGTGGCGTATACGCTTTTTTGCATTACTGACCGACCCATGAAACTTTCATTAGAATTAAAGTAATTGCCGATGTCATAGTTTGCGAATCATCGCTCTGATCTGAGAGCGTTGCGCCAGCGAATCCGAGACGTTGCCATCAAGCTGAAGTCAAACTTTGTCACCAGCGATCGACTTATTATTAGGTTGTCTTCAATAATAAAGTCGTCGCTTTTTTTCAACACACAATAATTTTCAATCCAGATCCTCATTGCTTTTTTATCGAGTCATATACACATTGACCGAGAAGAAAATTGTCTGCTCTAACAAAATACATCGTGTCGTCGTTCCATCTATTTCCATGTTCCCAAATAATATCCTGCAAAGTGAGTCCCCGGCCGGCGCGCGGGGTCCGACAAAAATTGACAACGACACCCTAAGCTCAACTTTATTCCGTTCGGAAGAAATCAATCAATGAAGATCCTCTACTACGCCAGTACCTCTCTGAACATTCCACCTGTCCGTTTTCCGAAAGGTTTGCCGCTGTTTCTTTTCGAATTGGCGCAACCGAATACGTCCATGGCAATTTTCAAAGTGAATTCTTCCTTTGAACGTATTGTTTAATTCATACTCGGTATACTATCTTTGTGAGGCAATTCTTCTGCTTTTATTTTCGCTCCTTGTTTTTTTGTAATTTGTTAAGGCGAATGTGCTCGAAATTTTAGGCTTAGCAGTACGGTGCCTTGTCCACAAAGTGACCGCGATTCCTTTTGAAAGAAATTACCTTAGGAATGAGAAAACCAGACCAGGGCGTACAATCTAATTAGTCACGACTTGTCTAAAATTTCTACACTAGTTTTTCAATGTTTCGGTCTGTAAGGAAAAAATTTCGAGCGCCCGATCTCAGGTGGTAATGGTCGTCTCAACCCGTCGAGTTCTGGTTGAAATAACGTGTCTGGAAATGGAAATGATACGCACTTGTTGGGGAACCTAACTTATTAATTTTAAAAGCGTCTGCATAGTAAACCTGGACAATCATCAGTGACTTGGATTTCTCCGAAGGGGAAAATATGAATGAGCTAAGTTGTGGTTGGGTAATTTTTGTCGCGCAGGATCCCCATTTCACATGTCCTCAAGACTTGAACACATTGAAGCATAGATGGAAGAGGAACAACATATTTTGTAAGACAGACAATATCCTTATTGAATGGTAATAAACTCTTCGTAAATGACATGGGATTGATCAAATTTCTGGTGAAAAAAAAAGCGACACTATTGTTATGAACAACCTAATATTGGACCGACGACGTCGAATTAGTTACCAGTCGAATCAATAGTGGCGGGACCCAATCGTTTGAAGGAAGCCGCCACTTCAATACAGTGCTCCCACTGCAAAGTCCCGCCACTTCCAAACAGCGTCTACTGTCAGGTGACACTGTTTGAAAGTGGCGGGCTTCCTTTAAACGCTGGGTCCCGCCATTTTTGAGTCGCTAGTACCTAGTTCGACTCGCTGGTACATAGTTCGACTCGCTGGTGCATCGGCCGATTCGCTGGTGCAAAGCTTGATTCTCTGGTGCAACGTTCGATTCGCTGGCAACACTCAGATCGAGCGATTCGCTAGCGAATCGCTCGATTCGCAAACTATGGCATCGGCCTAATGCCGGCCCACGTCCAGCCCAAGAAATGACTGTTGTACGCCATCCAATTCCTTTCCACTTTGCTAAAAATTCCTATAATAAGTCGATTCTTTCAGGGCGTTAGAGCAGCCTCGAGCCATTGCGTCAAAGATTCCAGCGCGATTCCACTGAGATTTGTCTAAAGGCGAGCCCCGGAATTCGCCCAACCAGTAGGAAGGATATTTCGAGAGAACTTGTATTGTCCTTCGTTACACAAAGCGTACCACACCCGTCACACAAAATGCGCGGTCAGAGGGCAATCGTTAAGGTGCTGCAACCAACGGCCCTTACTGCAACGCTTCCTACCCACCCGTCATTGATGTAGAGATCAGCGCTCCCTCAACGGAATGCTCTCTCGCGTGTTCTGTCTTCTCTGATCGCTTTGTATCGTCCTCGTACTACATTCGATCTTACTGGAAGTCAAGGCCTTAATTGTAGCGTTTTCGATGGCTTCTCTTGCTTTCTTTTCCACTTTTAGTTCATTCGCAATTCATCCATCACTTTGGTGCGCTCTTATACACTAGTTTTCTTAAAGAGTTTGCCTTTAATCTGAATGTAATACGTGTCGCAGAGGATGACCTTACCTAAAGCTTCATCAGAGACCATTCAAACGGATCCTACAGACTCTAATGTTTACAAAAAAATGTGGCGTAGCGTAAAGGAACTGTGAAGGCGAAGCGCTAACATTCGTAAACGTACCTCGTTTACCTGTTCTCTTCTCCCCGATTTTGCCTCCAATAATGTCGAGGAGTGTTTCGTGAAGATCAAAGTTTCTAAGGAATAACAAAATGTAAGGAATGGCCATGCTGTGATAGTAATGCAGATATCGAAGGTCCAAAAGACGAGTAAGCAGATTGCAATGGAGCGACTCACGAAGTGAAGCGTTGAGTATTGATAAGGAAGTTTTGCCAATTTTCTGGATATGACTGCACGAAACTCTTCGGTAGAAACACTGACAGTAGAGGTTGACGTTCTTCTTAACAATTACAATTTCGAGTCTCTCAGGAAATAAAAGAGGAAGCCAGAACAACTTGAAGTGTTTTATCCATTCATAGCCCGCCCAGAATTGTATGTGCAACTGTGAGAATCGTTCACGTAGATTTGATCTATTCCATTCCCTATAGGCGTTACTTGCGATCATTAGAGAGGGCTTACAAGCTTTCATACATAAAGATCAAGTTTTCGAAAAGGAACAAGCTTGTGAGAACCGCACTCCGTACCATACCCAC